CACAGAATTAATAAAGTTTCAGAACATTTTCTCTTCAGTTTATAATAAATTTGTGTACCAATTACAAAGTAGAAGACCCCATTTGTAGGGTTAGATGTAATTCTAAAAGGAAATATTGTGTTATAACTAAGGAAAATATCTTCAACGCACTTTTCAACCAACGAACTAGTTCACAAAGAGACAAAAAGATTACTCTCTCTATGGTGAATGAAGGCGAATTTAAAACAAGCTACAACATATGTGGTGGTTGTAACTTCCAGCCGCTTTTTCACAATTTTACAACAGAGATTAAATATGCCTATTGACTAAATTAACTTGATTGAGAATTCTTTGGGTGGGGAAGGAATGGAGTTTTCAAAGGCAGTCATGAGTTTTCAAGTAGCAGAACATAATCAAAATAGAGTGATGGATGCATTTAAAGGTACCTCAAATCTATGGTGAACAGAACTAAAGGCCTCAATTGCTGGTTCCAGTGGGAAGAATGTACACTGTAAATGAATCTAACAAGTGCAGATAGAGTTGCCATATGACTTTTGCATACACCTATCTACTACAGGTCTCAAACATTTATTGCCAATCTCGTCCTAACATTTGTAATATTATGCATTTACTAGATAGTAAAAGTAAACATGGCCATTCTTGAAGGACCTATTCATCTTTCCCAATAGAAATAGGGTGATCAACATATCAAGTTAATTTGTGCAGGTTCCATCGTGCTGCAAGAAAAATGAAAACTCCAAAAAGTTCAACCACAAAGTACATTCCTCAAACAATGGGTACATATGTTGCTTCAGGTACAGGCATCGGATACATCATACAAGTACATATCAAGCCCCTGTTTGGTAATGATTTCAATCAGATTTTAATATAAGTGAAACAATCAATATTAATCACACATTTTAAAATTTTTTATCAAAATCTATTAAAAATCTAATTTTAATCTCCACCAAACAGAGGCGAATAATCCTTTTTTCCTAAAATCTCGGGCATGGGGATACGGTCAAAAGAACCAAAATTTAGACACTGGTGGATGCGCCTAACAATAATATATATTTTTTATTTTATGTAATAAAATTAAAGAAATGTGTGAATTAAATATTTGATTATATTGAATTTTAATAATAAAAATAACACTAAAATATATTTTAAATCTAACAAGTGATAATGATAAAGTTGATTTAGTACACACATAAAAAGATGATCAGAAGTTGAAAAGGCTTCTATGTTTTTGACTTGCCTTGGGAACCTACCGTATATTGAAATTATAATTTAATAAACCATTAATAAAGTTACTCCACCAATGCCTACACAAGAGAGAAATAAAAACAAATTGCAGCTTCACCGCTACACCACATAACTTTCCCTCGTCGTACACTCTTTTAGTCTGAAGGATCCGAGCTAAATCTCATACCCATACTATGTCATGTCTTGTCAACACAAGTACTTCACCCAAAATGAAGAGTTTGAGCATCACAGATGGGCACAAAATCCTTTTAAACATTTAAAAATATAAAATTACTAGAATAGATAAAAGAGGAGTTATGTCTTAGCTTTGGTATACAAATTACGAGGCTGCAAAAAGAAATCACAAACCAAGTTCAAAAACTTTGATGACCAGCATATAATCAAATTCATCATGCATCCCAAAGACCTTTAACAACATTTATATTGGCCAAATCATTGAGCTATAGTAAATGTGAATATTAGACAATGCACAAAAGGACTCACAAGGTTGGCAAGGAAATACCGAAATAGTTCTACAGGTTTATTTCCTAACACAAATCCAAAGCTGCTACTCACATTCACACACCGTAAGCAGCCTCTTTTCATAGGAAATGAATTGAGAGTTTTGATAATCACTACCCCAATTACTGAGTACACGAAGAAGGGAGAATTGCACCGAATTCCTAAAGCTTGTAGAGCCCTTCTAGATATTACTTTATTTCTTACAACAATTACTCGTCTATAAGTTCAGATGTTATCCCATTAGTTAGTTAAGTTTCCGTTCTAGCTAGGATTTTTAACATACAAATAGAACTGCTGTTGCTAAACAATTCAAACCTTTATATGTGGTATTCAATATGTTGAATGACCTCTCGCTGCCCCCCGCGCTCTCTCTATCTTTGTACACTAGATATGATACTGACATTCACTTAAGCAGCCTACACTGATACCAAAGGTGCAATATTAGAGCAGTTTCAATTTTCTTTTCAGTACAATGACATTGCACTTCCATTCCATACTTCTGTTTAATTAATTAATTTTTTTTTTTGGAGGGGGGGGGGGGGGTGGGGGG